GAAGCCTGTGATCTGTTTCATCCCTGACCACACCTCTCTGATATTGTTCTGTTGGAGCTTGCTCTCCAGCTTATTCTTGTACACCTCCTTGTTGTTTCTTATCTTGACTTTTAGTTGCTTCTGTGTGCTCCTCAATAATTCCCTGTCTCTCTCCCTGAAGGCTCTTTTTTTCTGGTTTAGCAGTTCCTTCAGGTCAGTGGTGATTCAGGGTTTGTTATTGGGGAAGCATCTCACTGTTCTGGTGGGGATGGTGTTGTTTACACAGAAGTTTATATAGTCGGTCACACACACAGTCATGGCATTGATGTCCTCTCCATGTGGCTGGCACAGTGCACCCCAGTCTGTAGCCTCAAAACAACCCTGCAGGGCTTCTTCAGCTTCCGTTGACCATTTTCTCACTGTTCTCTTTATTGCAGGTTGCCTCTGAACAAGGGGTTTATATTTTGAGCAGAGAAACACAAGATTGTGATCTGATTTGCCAAGAGGGGGTCTAGCTTTAGCGATGTATGAATCCTTGACATTTGCGTAAAACAAGTCCAGCGTACTGTTTTCTCTGGTAGAGCAGCTGAGAAATTGTTGGAATGTCGGAAGTGTAGCGGAGATTAAGACATGATTAAAATCCCCCAGATATTGCAACAAACACACTAGGGTGTTGTGTCTGTAGCTTAGCAACCTCGGAGCTGATGACATCACACACAGTCTCAGCAACAGCATTGGGTGGAATGTAAACAGTTGCCAAAATAACACTGGTGAACTCTCTTGGCAAATAATATGGACGACAACTTAGGGCTAACAGTTCAATATCTGGACTGCAGAGACAACACTTCACAGTAACATGTCCAGGATTACACCATCTGCTGTTCACAAGCACTGCCAACCCACCTCCTTTCCTTTTGCCACTCCTCTTTAACTCTCTATCTGCTCGTATGGTCAGAAAGCCTGGCAAGGAAACGCTGGAGTCGGGGATATGATCCTGCAGCCATGTCTCAGTGAAACACATAACACTGCATTCCCGATACTCTGGATGGGTCTTTGTTAGGGCTTGAAGTTCATCCAACTTGTTTACCAACGATCTCACATTGCCCATCATGATCGATGGAAGAGATGGTTTAAACTTCATTTTTCTCGCTGTCTCCCTCTTCTTTGCTCCTGCACTGCATCCACGACGCCTCCTTTTCAACTCATTTGGGATTTGAGGCTGTAGTTGAGATATTATTTGAGCTTTGGAGATGTTAATCAGCTGCTCCCGCTTGTAAAAAAACCTTGTTGTTATGGTTACGCTTCATAACCAATGTCCAAAAGAAAAGATATTTCTATAAAAATCCTTCCAGCTGCACAGCATCCGACACCAGAGGAAATAATCATCCAAAAAAAGCGATTTATATCCAGAAAAAAGAGGAATTAAAAGTTTTCAAAAGTAATATCTCAGAATGAAAGTAACAGAGCTGCTCTAACATGCAGCCACCTTGAGCGGCGCAATGTTGTTAACTGTTTTTGTTAATGTTTTTAACTATTTACTTTTTCTTTATTATTTACTTTATTCTATATTTTACTACTTTTACTTATATTAATTATATTTACTTTATTCTTTTATCAATCTGATGAAGCGATTAATCTGATCGAGTTTTTTGGGAGAGGGGAGTAGCGAGGGATTGGGGGGGTCTCAGATTGGCTAGGAAATAAGAAGTGGGGTCTTTGAGGAAAATAGGTTGGAAACCACGGATTTAGAGGAAAGAGATCTGATGTTCAATAATCCACATTTTTATGATTTTATGATTTTGCTCTGGTAAAGTAACTGTGTTTATTTTAATCAGATTTTTAAGGTTTATATTTTTAGAGCTGATTTTTGGTTTATTTAATTTGAGCCGTGGGCGAGTTGACACTGTTTCAATGTGGGTGTGGGTGGGTAACAGAGGAGAAGCAGCAGAGAGGTGGAGGACTACACCTCTGCTTCCTGGACTGGTTTCTAGACTGGACCGTTAATTGTCAACAACCCAGATGTTCAACAGAATCAGATCAGTTTTTAGAGAGAAGTGCTGCTCCACTGAAGGTGGGATGGATTCCATCTCTCCACATCAGACCGCGTTTTCTCCAAAATGCACTCCAGCTGTTTTCAGAACACCACCTGGATGCCCAGTGGTTGAAAGCTGACATCCAGCTGAACATGTCATCGCTGGACAGGTTGGGGAGGGGGCCGGAGAAAACTATAGAGTCCGACATGGTTTTTGAGAAGTTACACAATGAAGCAACATAAATTTTAGTGATCTCTGATTTGCATAGTTGAGTGTCAGTTTTACATGTGAATAATGATTTGACTGTATTTAGCTTTAGCCAGTAGTTTCAGGTGGGATTCAGTGTCGC